CCTCAATGGAGAATGGCAGACCTGCAGGCTGCATACAAGTGATCTCGGCAATATGGCCCGGGATCACTTGAACAAAACAAGTGATGGCTTCCCCCTGTACATTTAGCCCTGCTTGCCCAAAGCAGGGCTAAATGTAGAAAGCAACTACCCGCCCGGAACTGCATGTCCCGGGCATCGGCAGAGAGGAATTCCACACCCCTGCTGCCCCTCTACTCCTTGCTGCCCCAAGGCCGGGCCTTGGTTGGCCTTGTGGGAAATCCGGCACTGACAACATAGCTGAAGCTGAATTAGATAATTTTTTTAAATCAGCTATTTTGTCCTTAAATCAGGGGTGTCAATCTCAATTTAATCGTGGGCCGCATCAACATTATGGTTGCCCACAAAGGTATCTGTAACACTATATAAATGTATCTAATCTTTATCATAATTGCCTCTGCATTCGATTATCACTGGTTTTAGTAATAACTTAATACCTAGATCTGAAAGTAGAAGTCTAGGAAATGGCCTGGTGGGCCGGATTTAGCCCCTGGGCCTTGACTTTGACACATGTGTCCTAAATTGTTCACTTCTGCCTTCTCCAAACTCTTCACCCTTTCGTGAATAACCCTGCTATTGTCTAAAAAAAAATACTATCCGTCTTCTGTTCTGTCTTGTAGACACTCACCAATGGTTCTTTGAGGTCTTCTTCTGAGTCGCTCGGGTGTCTATCGCTATGTTCACTCCCGGAAACCTCGACTCCTAGTATCTGTGTGTCCTTTACCTCTGCGGAGGACAAACACAAAAGGAGTTATTGGAGCAGACAGAGAAGGAAAAATCAGCAACTATGCAAGTGAGACATCTATGAAACCTGATATCCTGATGAAATGGTAGATCACGAGGAATAGAGAACTGATGAAAGGACAGCAGAACAAGAACTATGTTATGGGTGTGAGAAGAGAAAGACAAACAAACCTCTTAAAAAGATTTCAACACATTATATTATACTAAAACACAAGAGTCGGGGAAAAAAAAATCTTTGGAGCGAGACTCAAACTTCAGAGATGTTTGGAGAAACTTAAGACAAGTCAGTGAGAGATGGAGATGACCTTTGAAGAGGTCATCCAAGAAACTTTCAATCTCCAAAAATGTAGACAAGACCAAAAAAAGGACAAAAAGTGGAGATCAGTGAGACACTTAACATAAGAAAACACCACGAATAGCTCTTAGAAGAGTCATTAGAAGATGATGGCCAAGTAGACAGAAGAAGAAGGCTTTGGATATACAAAAATCAACCGTTACCTTTCCGCGGTCGCCGGCAGCAAAGAACGCAGATGGTCACCATTACAAAGAGACAGAGCGTCCCCAAACCCAAAGCGATCAGCAGGAGCATCATAGGCAAAGTAGCTGGAAGAGAAATATAGACCTCTTATGCGTTGCTCTCCAAGATGGTGACTTGTCAATGGCCAGGTAAACGTGGAGGAAGATGTTATTCCGACACTCAAGCGTAGGGCAAATGAATGATCGCTCACCTTCCTCTCTCAGGGAGATAATCACGGAATCCTCTCCAAACTGATTTATGGCGGTGCAGTTGTACTGAATCATATAATCTGAAGGCTCTGTTCCATCAATAATAAGGAAAGAGACAGCATCGTTTTTTGTCACCCTTGTCTCCACCGAGAAGCGCCCCAAAGAGCCTTCATCTAGGCTGTTATGGTCCCAAGTCCAGACCTAAAGGAACACAAAAAAATGTGTGAAGGCAAATTGAATTTCCAGAACGGGTACAAAAGTATTATTTTTTAATTGTAGAAGTTTGACTTTCTATTCATCAGGTGTTATTAGAGTAGAAAGAGCTATGGAACGCTCAAGCCCCTTGCTGGGAAAAACAACGTTAATTGCAAAGAATGTCTATATAAAGGTCTTTGAAAGGTGACCTTTTATCTTTGTGGAACCTCTGAAGCTGAGTAACGTGTACTTACAATTCTATCAGGTATTGGTGTGGTTTCCACAAGACACTCCAGTCGTGCTTTTCCTCCAAGGACACTTTCATAGCTTATTTCACTTGTGATGACAGGTGGCCCTGACAACAAAGAAGACGCAAGGTCAATTTAGAGTACTAGCAGGCCGTGAGATGTTGTTCTTTATAATATTCAATGCAATACAAACGGAGGAAAATTTATAATCTACCTATTGTCTATAGATGGAGAGGCAGAGGGGATAAAGAGACGAGAGGATTCATACAAGTATTAAAACCATTCCAGCCATTTACTGACCACAGTATGTTTGTGGCATGGTAACAGAAGGATGGATTGGATCAATTTGTTCCAACCATTAATAAAAGAACATTGAGACCTCTGCCATGTCTATGTATTTGAACAGCAATGGCTTGTCTTGCAATAGGTGGTGGTTCTTATTACCTCTCACAGTTAGAGTTACTTCTTTCTCCATGGTTCCAATACGTGGGACGATGGCTTTGCAAACATAGGTTCCTGCATCTTCCCGGCTCACCTTGTTTAGCGACAGAGTGTTGCCGTTACTCAGCACCTGAGAGATGGTGAGAAAGAAAAAAACTTAGGCTTAGATAGAAAGAGCTATGGTGGACATGAGGATTGAAAGAGCTACAGTGGACATGAGGATTGAAAGAGCTATGGTGGACATGAGGATTGAAAAAGTTATGGTGGACATGAGGATTGAAAAAGTTATGGTGGACATGAAGATTGAAAGAGCTATGGTGGACATGAGGATTGAATAATCTATGGTGGACATAAGGATTGAAAGAGCTATGGTGGACATGAGGATTGAAAAAGTTATGGTGGACATGAGGATTGAAAGAGCTACGGTGGGCATGAGGATTGAATAAACTATGGTGGACATGAGCATTGAAAGAGCTACGGTGGGCATGAGGAATGAAAGAGCTATGGTGGACATGTGGATTGAAAGAGCTATGGTGGACATGAGGATTGAATAATCTATGGTGGACATAAGGATTGAAAGAGCTATGGTGGACATGAGGATTGAAAAAGTTATGGTGGACATGAGGATTGAAAGAGCTACGGTGGGCATGAGGATTGAATAAACTATGGTGGACATGAGCATTGAAAGAGCTACGGTGGGCATGAGGAATGAAAGAGTGACCTTTTATCTTTGTGGAACCTCTGAAGCTGAGTAACGTGTACTTACAATTCTATCAGGTATTGGTGTGGTTTCCACAAGACACTCCAGTCGTGCTTTTCCTCCAAGGACACTTTCATAGCTTATTTCACTTGTGATGACAGGTGGCCCTGACAACAAAGAAGACGCAAGGTCAATTTAGAGTACTAGCAGGCCGTGAGATGTTGTTCTTTATAATATTCAATGCAATACAAACGGAGGAAAATTTATAATCTACCTATTGTCTATAGATGGAGAGGCAGAGGGGATAAAGAGACGAGAGGATTCATACAAGTATTAAAACCATTCCAGCCATTTACTGACCACAGTATGTTTGTGGCATGGTAACAGAAGGATGGATTGGATCAATTTGTTCCAACCATTAATAAAAGAACATTGAGACCTCTGCCATGTCTATGTATTTGAACAGCAATGGCTTGTCTTGCAATAGGTGGTGGTTCTTATTACCTCTCACAGTTAGAGTTACTTCTTTCTCCATGGTTCCAATACGTGGGACGATGGCTTTGCAAACATAGGTTCCTGCATCTTCCCGGCTCACCTTGTTTAGCGACAGAGTGTTGCCGTTACTCAGCACCTGAGAGATGGTGAGAAAGAAAAAAACTTAGGCTTAGATAGAAAGAGCTATGGTGGACATGAGGATTGAAAGAGCTACAGTGGACATGAGGATTGAAAGAGCTATGGTGGACATGAGGATTGAAAAAGTTATGGTGGACATGAGGATTGAAAAAGTTATGGTGGACATGAAGATTGAAAGAGCTATGGTGGACATGAGGATTGAATAATCTATGGTGGACATAAGGATTGAAAGAGCTATGGTGGACATGAGGATTGAAAAAGTTATGGTGGACATGAGGATTGAAAGAGCTACGGTGGGCATGAGGATTGAATAAACTATGGTGGACATGAGCATTGAAAGAGCTACGGTGGGCATGAGGAATGAAAGAGCTATGGTGGACATGTGGATTGAAAGAGCTATGGTGGACATGAGGATTGAATAATCTATGGTGGACATAAGGATTGAAAGAGCTATGGTGGACATGAGGATTGAAAAAGTTATGGTGGACATGAGGATTGAAAGAGCTACGGTGGGCATGAGGATTGAATAAACTATGGTGGACATGAGCATTGAAAGAGCTACGGTGGGCATGAGGAATGAAAGAGCTATGGTGGACATGAGGATTGAAAGATCTATGGTGGACATGTGGATTGAAAGAGCTATGGTGGACATGAGGATTGAAAGATCTATGGTGGACATGGGGATTGAAAGAGCTATGGTGGACATGACAAATTTTGACAAATAGAAGCTCAGTTTATACTTTCATAAGGAAACAATGATACAATTATTAGCAGAAACTTTTGTCTCACCTCCGAGGAGCCCTTCTTATTCCAGAACTGAGTTGGTGTTGGATTGCCGGTCCATCCGCAAAAAAAGGATGCATCTCCACCAACATCTACCATCATTGGACGCGGTTCTGTCAGGAGACGTGGCCCAACTGTTGGGGAGAAATGAAGGATCGAGGGTAAGTTTGATTGATTTCAGTGTGATTCAATGATACACACTCCCAAACTTCGGCTAAGGGAACTTACACAAAACATTCACAGCCGTGCTAACGTTGCTGCTTCCGACGCTGTTGGAGACCTCACAGGACACAGGAGCGGTGAAGAAAGTGTGGTCCACGGTTGCGTGGTAGCGGTCTCCTGAGACGGAAATTGGAACTCCTCCCTTTGCCCACCTGAGGGATTAAAACAACGGGGTTTTAAAGATTACTCTAAGGGAAACAGCTACATGCCATTGACAGACCATTTTATGTGTCACAATATTCCTAACAATGTCCAGTCACTGCTGTGATTTAAACACCGAAATGGTGACGCCATTATTGAAGGCTTTCCATCTCAGAGTCACCTTCTAAGTTAAAGCTTTCTTATTGGGTTATGAATGATTAATACATCAGCAGTGAGGTTCTCCTAGTACTCTCCTTCTATTGAAGGCTTTTTCCCAACCCCTCATCTGAGTACCACAGCAAGTCATTACATCTTGCCATTTTCCACATTTTGGGAAGCTCACATCATCCACAGGTTGGGCTCCAACACCTCACTATTGATTACTACTACTCTGTCTACCACACCTCTTATGTTATACCGAGAGCCAGATTAACATAGGGGCTACTGGAGCATCAACTCGAGGCCCACCACTGAAAATAAGCTCAACTGGCCTGGATTGCCTTGTTTTTGCCTGATAGCAATCCGGGCCAGCAGGGCCGAACACAAATCAAGTAGCCTCTGCTGCTACTGTCCGACCAACCAACAGCACTAAGCCCATGATGCTCTTAATCCGGCCCTGGTTAACTGTTTTTCAATTGCCCCTGCATGGGCAACACCGCTGTTATACCTTACTTAGAAGATGTATATCTTGACATCGGGCTTTGTAGGAGTGCAAACCAAGCTACCTCTCATTTTAGGGGTTTCATGGTCAATACTAGATACATAGTAAGAAAAAAAACTGAACCCACCTGTAAGTGGTCACCTCCGGGTTGGACACGGCACTGCACAGAAAAGTCACAGGGCCCCCTTCTGACACGGTGGGGGGGTTCACAGACAGCGTCACCTTGGGGGCATCTAAAAAAAAAGTGAGAAGAAACAGTAAAAACTACAATTCCAAAAGGAGATTTACTGACCCGGACCTGAAGGGTTCAAAGTCATATTTCCCAAGCCAAGCTCGGGATTGTGGACACTCACATTGCACGCTCAGCGTCACCGATCTCTCTCGCCCCTCAGGCAGCGCGGAGTTCCTAACGTGGCACGTGTAGCTGGATTCCGTATCAGCAAAACTCGGCGTAATTAGGAGACTGCCGACAGCGTCCTCGCTCTTGCCGTCCGATAACAAGTGCTGGAAGAGACAACGGCGGGAGAAATTGGTCAGATTGAACGCACGCTCGTGAATTTACTTGTGAAGATGGGCGATGGGTCAAGGCCGAACCTTGGAGTAAATGGCTCCGTGCAGTTGCTTGCCGTCACGGTACCAAAGGATCTCGGCCGCCGGTTTTGCCGCAGGGGCCAGACAGGTGAGGTTGTAGGGGGTGTCCAGCAGCACGTTAAGTACGGGAGCTCCTCGTATCAAAGGGTCTCCAGGAGGAACTGAAAGAAAGATCGAAGGTTAGGGAATCCTGAAAGAACCGAGTGTCCAATCTCTTTGGAATCTCCTGACCATCCACACTACCATCTGATCACAGAATTTCCATACAATCTTTTCTCTATTCACCAAAACTATGTAATGGGAGGACCAGACCAGAGTCCACATTCCATTTCTATCCAAAGAGGCGGAGCCTCAGACAGCATCATTGTAGGTGAATGGTAAGCAGATTATACAATCAGATCAGGACATTAGTGGCCAACCTCAGCTTACCACCTACTGCCATTACTATCTTCCTGATACTGTCACTACAACCACCCTGTCCTCCCTGATACTGTCACTACAAACACCCTGTCCTCCCTGATACTGTCACTACAACCACCCTGTCCTCCCTGATACTGTCAACACTACCAGACTGGGGGACTCTGAGGTGGGTGGACAATGTGGTCAGTAGGTCATATACAGGATGTCACAGCACCGTTTTACTTCTGCGTGATAGAGCCAAATTACATGTAGCTTGTTGTGCGCCCCTCACATGTCCTGTTACTCACCCAGCACAGACAGGTGCGCCCGCTGCGATCTCAGGGCCGCCTGCGTTGCCTGACATTCGTAGATGGCATCGTCAACCAGCTCCACATGATCAATTTGCAGGTTGTGTTCTCCCGAAACCGGATCTCCAACGATGGAATAACGAGACCAACCTACAGGATCAAGAACAGGTCAGAACACTTCAACATGCAACGGCTTCTGAACTGTGAGATATCAGCTCATTTCTCTGATCACCTGATCATAAAAAGTGTCGTTGTTCAATGGTGGACACCAGAGGGTTAAACATCCCAACAGATTCCTCCTACCATCCCTGTGCTGAGTTCCCGGGTCTGTACACCCGCTGTGCCCATTATGAGGGGCTCCCACCATCCCTGTGCTGAGTTCCCGGGTCTGTACACCTGCTGTGCCCACTATGAGGGGCTCTTACCATCCCTGTGCTGAGTTCCCGGGTCTGTACACCTGCTGTGCCCACTATGAGGGGCTCTTACCATCCCTGTGCTGAGTTCCCGGGTCTGTACACCTGCTGTGCCCACTATGAGGGGCTCTTACCATCCCTGTGCTGAGTTCCCGGGTCTGTACACCTGCTGTGCCCACTATGAGGGGCTCTTACCATCCCTGTGCTGAGTTCCCGGGTCTGTACACCTGCTGTGCCCACTATGAGGGGCTCTTACCATCCCTGTGCTGAGTTCCCGGGTCTGTACACCTGCTGTGCCCACTATGAGGGGCTCTTACCATCCCTGTGCTGAGTTCCCGGGTCTGTACACCTGCTGTGCCCACTATGAGGGGCTCTTACCATCCCTGTGCTGAGTTCCCGGGTCTGTACACCTGCTGTGCCCACTATGAGGGGCTCTTACCATCCCTGTGCTGAGTTCCCGGGTCTGTACACCTGCTGTGCCCACTATGAGGGGCTCTTACCATCCCTGTGCTGAGTTCCCGGGTCTGTACACCTGCTGTGCCCACTATGAGGGGCTCTTACCATCCCTGTGCTGAGTTCCCGGGTCTGTACACCTGCTGTGCCCACTATGAGGGGCTCTTACCATCCCTGTGCTGAGTTCCCGGGTCTGTACACCTGCTGTGCCCACTATGAGGGGCTCCCACCATCCACAACACATTAAAGAACTTTGAACATTTTTTTTTACCTGGAAGATCTCGCTCCGCCCCCAGCGCCAAACCATCCATGGTCCATTGCACGGTCCCTCGGTAGCCGACCACAACGCAGGGGAGAGTCACTGACTTGCCGGCGACGACCACCTGATCAGACGGCTGCTGTGCGAAGTGGGCTGAGAAACCTGTCGGGATTGGAGAGAGAGGTGATTGAGTTTCACGCCCGGTGGCTATGGGGGGGTCAGAGGTCAGCGATCAGCTGGCTGCTCTGTGTATACCATATGGTATATAGATATGTTTCTGGGCTTTGACAGCTCCCTGTATCGTGTTATTGGCCTCCGGCGCCCAGCTGTCAGGCGCCCGGCGTCAGAAATATTACGACTTCCATCTCACCTTTATTCTCTCCGTCACCAAATCTAATATTTATAACCAAATGGAGCGGCTGCATTAAATGTCTCCTTTCACGTACTTAGTTGTCACCTCGCATCTGTGTTGGGAATGTGTGGAGACTGCAGCCTGCTGCCAAGGGTTAAAGAGAACCTGTCATAGGACTAGAGATGTATATGTGAATGTACAGATGTGTAAACTTTCAGCGCTCTATAAATACAGTACCTGCAACATAAACCAGAGGAGATCCTGCCTATGAAATGATCACATCTGGCTGGAAGGATATTGGGCTTCCTGTCTAAACTGGCCCTAGTACGTGAGATAGGGGCAATAGATTGTAAGCTCCTTGGGCCAGGAAAGCAGAGAGAGAGAGAGGCAGCTGGAGGTTGGGGCAGACCATGAAGGGGGGGAGTAGGACCTGGCTTATTACAAGTGATCTTGGTGGCATTGCCCAAAGCAGGGCTAAATGTAGAAAAAAACTACCCGCCTGATGGCTGTGCAGCCCCTCTACTCCCTGCTGCCCCGAGGCCAGGCCTCGGTGGCCATGTGGGAAATCCGGCCCTGATTGTAAGCTCCTTTGGTCAGGGTCTGATGTGAATGTACAGTATGCAGAGATGTATAAAGTGTCAGCGCTCTGTAAATACCTGTAACATAAACCAGAGCAGATCCTGCCTATGAAATGGTCACATCTGGATGGAAGGATATTGGGTTCCCTGTGTAAACTGGCCCTAGTATGTGAGATGGGGCATTAGATTGTAAGCTCCCTGGGCCGGGGTCTGATGTGATTGTACAGTATGTAGAGATGTATAAACTGTCGGCGCTCTATAAATACCTGTAACATACATCAGAGGAGATCCTGCCTATGAAATGATCTGGCTGGAAGGATATTGGGTTTCCTGTATAAACTGGCCCTGGTATGTGTGATAGGGGCATTAGATTGCGAGCTCCTTGGGTCAGGAGAGCAGGGAGAGAGGCAGTTGGAGGTAGGGGCAGACCATGATCACTTGTACAAACCGAGTGGTGGCTTCCCCGCTCTACATTTAGCTGGCAGGATATTGGGTTTCCTGTCTAAACTGGCCCTAGTATGTGAGAAAGGGGCATTAGATTGTAAGCTCCTTGGGTCAGGATCTGATGTAAATGTACAGTATGTAGAGAGATGTATAAACTTTTGGTGCTCTATAAATACCTGTAACATACATCAGAGGAGATCCTGCCTATGAAATGATCACATCTGGCTGGCAGGATATTGGGTTTCCTGTATAAACTTGCCCTAGTATTTGTGATAGTGGCATTAGATTGTGAGCTCCTTGGGTCAGGAGAGAAGGGAGAGAGGCAGCTGGAGGTTGGGGCAGACCATGAATCGGACCTGGCTTATTACAAGTGATCTTGGTGGCATTGCGGAGATCACTTGTACAAACCGAGTGGTGGCTTCCCTGCTCTACATTTAGCTGGCAGGATATTGGGTTTCCTGTCTAAACTGGCCCTGGTATGTGAGAAAGGGGCATTAGATTGTAAGCTCCTTGGGTCAGGATCTGATGTGAATGTACAGTATGTAGGGCTGTATAAACGTTCGACACTCTATAAATAGCTGTATCATAAACCAGAGCAGATCCTGCCTATGAAATGATCACATCTGGCTGGCAGGATATTGGGTTTCCTGTCTAAACTGGCCCTGGTATGTGAGATAGGGGCATTAGATTGTAAGCTCCTTGGGTCAGGATCTGATATGAATGTACAGTATGTAGGGCTGTATAAACTTTTGGTGCTCTATAAATAGCTGTAACATAAACCAGAGGAGATCCGGCCTATGAAATGATCTGGCTGGAAGGATATTGGGTTTCCTGTCTAAACTGGCCCTGGTATGTGAGATAGGGGCATTAGATTGTAAGCTCCTTGGGTCAGGATCTGATGTAAATGTACAGTATGTAGAGCTGTATAAACTGTTGGCGCTCTATAAATACCTGTAACATACATCAGAGCAGATCCTGCCTATGAAATGGTCACATCCGGAATCTTCTCTGTTTACAAATACGATCTCCAAAAGGAAACAATGTAACAACAACGACTGACAATGTATCTTATATTGAGGATATAAAAGACACGTCTCGTTATCTGATCCCGCTCCCTATACTACACACGCAGGATATAAAGTCCCCCCCCCCGCATAAGCCACCTTCGTCGAGCTCTGGCCAATGTAACGCGCAATCATTTTGACTTTCCCGACAGCTCGGCAAAACATGACAAACCAGATTTCCAAACAGATATTTCCTCTCCTGTCTGCCTGTCTGCGGCCGCTATTGTTATCCGGCTGTCATTGTTGGCGGCTCCTGCTGCATCCTATCTCGTCTCTGTTTGCCGTGTAATTACTCAATCTCCCAAGTCAAACAGGCGTGTGCGCACGACTCGCCAATCTCTCCCAGATGCGGCGTTTCCGGTGAGAGGGAAAGGAACA